TCTTTCTTTCTTTCTTTCTTTCTTTCTTTCTTTCTTTCTCTTTCTTTTTTTCTTTCTTTCTTTTTTAAAATTTTATAACAAATCTGCAGTGAACCTCCTCGGACATCTCTCTCTGCATACGTGTGAGAGCTTCTCCGAGACATGCACAGGTGAATTGCTAGATCAAAGAATACATTTTTAATTTCACTAAATACTGTCAAACTAATCTCCAAAGTGCCTTTACCTAGCAGCTTCAGAGAGTTCTTATTTCTCCCTTGTGTTTACTTCACTGGATGTTCTCTCACTTGAAATTTCTGCAGCTTCGGTAGATGACAAGGGGAATCTTTTTGTTTGTTTTGCATTCCTCTAATTACTAAAGAGCTTAGGAATTTGGCTTTCTGTTTTCACTGTCCATAGGCCTTGACCATTGTTTTATTGGGAGTATTTATCATTGTTATGGATCCGTAGAATCTTTTATCAATATTCTGAAGACAAAATTTTTATGTTATACAAATACTGCAAGTATCTATTTTCTGTCGCTTATCTTTTAATATGGCCCAATCTTTTATCATAAATAAGTTTTAAACTTATTGTCAAGTAAATGAATCATTTTTGTTACGGTTTATGCCCACTGTGCATATTTAATAATCCTTTGCTTCCTTGAGGTCAGCAAGTTATGTTTTTCTAGTCATTTTATAGTTTTTAAAAAATGTTTTATTTGTTTAGTTATTTGAGAGAGAGCATGAGTGGCAAAGGGGCAGGACGAGAGGGGGACAGAGGATCTGATGTGGGACAGCAGTGAGCCTGACGCGGCGCTCACACTCATCAACTGTGAGATCATAACCTGAGCCACAACTGAGCCACCCAGGCACCCCTGTTTTTCTAATCATTTTAAAGTTTTACTTTCCGCATCTAGGTGCTTGCTCCACTTTAAATGTATTTGGGGTGTGGTTTACATCACTTTTTATAACCAGAACGTTCAATAACAATAAAAACCAGGAGATGCAGCTCTGACAGGTGACTGTCTGCCGAGTGCCCTCTCCTAGGCTGGCCCCTTGCCCCCGTGGGGGACTCACCCAGCATCTGCCCCAAGTGTTCTCCTCCCTTATCAGAGAACTCGTTGTGGCTGAGATCCAGTGTCTTAATTCGGTAATTGGCCTGGAGAGAGAAACGGTGCAGAGAGAGGTGATTTTTGTCCTTTATGTGACCGCAAATACCTCTCTTATCTCAGGGCGGTGTGATGGAGGGCTCCCACACACCAAAAATCGGGTGGACTAGAGTTTTTAGACTGAAGATGACTTCTTGTGCATTTTTTTGTTTAACTGTCTGTGACTGCTAGGAGGGTCTAGTCCCATCCAAACAGCCCTCCCTCTGCTGCGCTTTGGTCAGGATCGGCAGAGTTCAGCCACTCACCAGCTCCCTAAACATTCAAGTGACCTCACTTCTCTATACACCCTCCAGATCCCCCACATCTCCCAGGGCCATCCCCCACAGGGCTGGGTTGCCCCCGCCCCCTTGTTACTTACCGAGAAGGCTTGGCAGAACAGCTCTGCGGATTCGTCCTTGAAGTTATTTCCTGTAGTGAAGGTGGGTGTTTGCAATGCTGTCCAGACTAGGGCTCCCTCACCCTCCTGCATTCTAGCCCTGCCAGTCTCTCCCCTTTGCAACCATCAGCCACAGGAAAGGTGGCAAGTGCTTAAAGCAAATATATGGACACGGAAGAAAACAAGAGAAAAGAGGGCAACTATTTGCCATCCCCTTTAACATCCCTTCCTTTCTCTGCCATGATAGCTCGGGGAGTTCCAGAAGTCAGTACAGCATGCCCTGTGCCCCCACTGGTAGCATCAACCCCTAGCTTAGCGCCTAAATTCCGTAACATTATTAAAAATACGAATCCAGTGGCAGGGCCATGACCAGAGAGGCACAAGTGAGGCACTCCCTCTGTGTGCAAAATCGAAGCTTCGTAACCACAGGGAGTAACGTCTTAATATTTGTAGAAGTCAAAACTAATGCAAGACATTTATGATGAACAAAATTGTATTTTTTTTAATGTTCACTTATTTATCTTGAGAGAGAGTGTGTGTGTGACCAGGGGAGGGGCAGAGAGAAAGGGAGAGAAAGAATCCCACGCAGGCTCTGAGCTACCAGCACAGAGACCGCCAACGTGGGGGCTCAAAGCCACTAACCGTGAGATCATGACCTGAGGTGAAATCAAGAGTCAGATGCTTAACTGACTGAGCCACCCAGGCGCCCCTCAAAATTTTTAAATTTTAAATAAAGGCAGGATCTGACCCTGTACTTGAATGGTCAGGCCTCACTCACCTCACCAATAACCTGTCCCTGTTGGATCCTATTTTATATTTAAAGTGTGGATATTTTGTTCACCACAGGCATTTTTCGCATTATTTTTGACTTTGACAAATATTGCAACAGGATATCATTTACTTAGTTACTGACTTTTTTGAGCCCCTTGAGTTCTGTGATCGAGGTGTGTGCCTTCCTCATCTTACTCTCACCCCAGCCCTGCTGAATAGTTTAAAAGATTTCTGGAAAATATATGCGATTTCTGGGAAATAAATGATATAGAGACTTATCCCCAAATTTCTTCTTTAAACCCTTAATAATCTTTGTATCTCTAGCACCTAAATAGTGCCTGGCACATGATAGGTGCTCAGTAAATGTTTCCTGAATGAATGAATGAGTCCACCTAGACACAAATGCTTCTTGGTTGCGTTTGTACCCGTGCAATAAAACGAGACGATAAGCTAGTCAATGTGTAAAATTAGGTTATTAGCTATTCAAATTGTTGTGTCTACATCAGTGGTTACAAATAGTACGGAGCTGGCAGTAACAGAGTCATTTGGGAAGTCTGATAAAATACAGATTCCCAAACCCCTCCTTTTTAAGATTCTGATTCAGCAGTCTGGGATAGGGCTGGGTAATTTGTATTTTTACAGAGCTTTCTGTATTATTTAATGTTATACTAGAGGTGTTAGCCAATGCGACTAGAAAAATCATTAGGAGCTGCAGCTATTGGAAAGAAGAGACAAAACTCCCATAATTTACAGACATGATCGCCTGCCTAAATAATCCAAGAAAATTAACTGACAGAATGTTAGAACTAATAAGATAATTCAATAAAGTCACTGGACATAGGATCAATGTACAGAAATTAATAGCTGCCAGACATATCAGTAATAACCACTTAGAATATATGATAGAAAAAACATTCTGTTCACACAGGAATAAAATGATAAAACACTTGGGCCTGATACGAAATGTGCAGGATTTCTAATGGAATAAAAGCATAGGACTTTATTGAGGAAGATAAAAAAAGACTTGAAGAAACAGAGGTAAACCCAGTGCTTGAAATTTGGACCCAAGCGCTGACCTCAACATCCACACATTTAATCATTCTGATTCACAGATAACTTGCTGATAGCCAAAATGGACGTAGTACAGGGAAACAGAAAACAGTTCATTGTAGAACTGTAACCTGGTACCATCTTCTTTTTTTTTTTTTTTTTTCAAATGTTTATTTATTTTGAGAAAAAGGGTGAGCGGGGGAGGGGCAGAGAGAGAGAGAGAAAGGGAGAGAGTCTCCCAAGCAGGCTCCTTGCTATCAGCACAGAGCCTCATGCTGGGCTCCATCCCACGAAACACGAGATCATGACCTGAGCCGAAATCAAGAGTCAGATGCGTAACTGACTGAGCCACCCAGGCACCCCTAGGCCGTTTTTAAAAGTTATCTCTACACCCAACGTGGGGCTCAAACTCACAACCCTGAGATCAAGAGTCACACACTCTACTGACTAAGGCAGCTAGGCGCCCCTGGCACGGTCTTCTTGAGGGGAGATTTGGAAATTCTTTTTCAACTTCAGAAAAATAGGTGTATCTTTTTATATTCCGTAATTTTGCTCTTGGGTGTCTATCTAGAAATACTAGAACATATGTCCAAAAGTTGCATGTGCAAGAAAGTTGTTTAAAAATTATTTGAAAGATTGAAAAACTGGAAATGTGCCCCTTCCATACACACACAAATGGAGAGAGGTTAGATAAACTATGCTATATCCATCCCATGGAATACTATCCAGCTGTTCCAGAGAATGAGATAAATCTATTTGCTATGTTATAGAAATAGAAGATATATTTAGAGTGAAAAAGAGGAAATTGGAGAAGAGAACCTGATATGTCATAATATTTATATTAAAAATTACACAAACTCTATTTTTGCATTTTCTCTCTGGATACTTTTAAGATCTTTTTATTTTAGATGTTTTTTCTATGATATATTCAGGGGTGGACTTCTTTTTATTTACCTTATGAAGGACTCACTAGGATTCCTGCATCTGAGAATTCAGCAATTCAGGACATCTCAGCTATTGTTTGCTTAGATATCACTGCTCATCCATTCTCTTCTTCTGGAACTCCAATGAGCTCTGTTGGGTCTCTCTCTCTCTCTCTCTCTCTCTCTATATATATATAGAGAGAGAGAGAGAGAGAGATCTATATATATCTATATATAGATATAGATAGATGCAGAGATTACTTAAAAATAAAATCTTTTAATATACTTTTTAAAAGATTTTATTTTTAAGTAATATCTGCATCCAATGTGGGGCTCAAAGTCACCACCCCAAGATCAAGAGTCACATGGTCTACCATCTGAGCCAGCCAGGAGTCCCTCATCCTTTTATATATTTTTTAATCTTGTATGTCCTCTATATCTTAAAAAAATTTTTTTTGACGTTTATTTATTTTTGAGAGAGACAAGAGACAGAATGCGAGTGGGTTAGGGGCAGAGAGAGAGGGAGACACAGAATACGAAGCAGGCTCCAGGCTCTGAGCTGTCAGCACAGAGCCCGACTCGGGGCTTGAACTCGAGCTGAGAGATCATCACCTGAGCCGAAGTCACTTGACCGACTGAGCCACCCAGGCACCCCCTATCTTTAGCTTTCTGTACTGCAAAGGATTTTCAAGGTCATTAATTTTATTCACCTGATTCTTTTAAAAAAAATTTTTTTTCAACGTTTATTTATTTTTGGGACAGAGAGAGACAGAGCATGAACGAGGGAGGGGCAGAGAGAGAGGGAGACACAGAATCAGAAACAGGCTCCAGGCTCTGAGCCATCAGCCCAGAGCCCGACGCGGGGCTCGAACTCACGGACTGTGAGATCGTGACCTGGCTGAAGTCGGACGCTTAACCGACTGCGCCACCCAGGTGCCCCTATTCACCTGATTCTAATTTGCTGTTAAACGTATCCATTGAGTCTCTAGTTTGAAGGATTATATACTTTCCATTTCCAGAAATTCTATTTTGGGGAGGTCTTTTAAAAAATAGCGTTTTGTTCTTGTGTGTTTTTATTTTTATGTTCTTAATCATATTAAACATAGTTTACCGTTGGGGTCAAGATATCTGTTTGCTTGCAGTTTTAGTTAATTAATAGTGCTTCTATGCAGTTGGAAGATAAATTATATGGTCACCAAATGTACAGTTTATTTCTGATAATTCTATTTTCTGTAGTCCTTGAGGGTCTGATGCTGCTGCTTGTTAGAATCTGACTGCTCTCATGGTGTTTTGTGTCCTTGTTTTGCAATTTTGGACTCTGAGCCCATCTTCATTGGAGCTTTATCTGTGGGAATCCCAAGCAGCCTGCAGCCTGGGTCAAGGGTCATTCTTCCAATGAGGTTTTCTGTTTGTGTCTGTTGCATGCCCCAGGGTATTACCAGTATAGGACGACTTAGGTTAATGTCTTAGGGGTTCCAGGACCCTGAAGACAGTATAAACTCAAACCACAAACCTGGGTTCTCAAGTGACTTTTTTTTTTTCTGTGAGAGAGACAGATAACAGACTAATTAAAAAGTGAGCGTACAATAAGGGGCCAGGGGGCAATAAATGCTGTTAAGAAAAAACAAGTAACGGAAACAGGATAGCGATGGTGATGGAGGGGAGGGGAGGGAAGCCCCCCTCAGGAGATGGCATTTGAGCAGGAGCACGGCTAAAGCAACAGAGTGAGCCATGCGGTTATCTGGGGTAGAGACTTTCAAGCAGAGGCAGGCATGCTGCTGAGTGAATCAGAAGTTTCTTGTTTGGGAAAGCCAGCAAGCCAGTGTGGCCGTGGGAAGGGGGAAAGGATGACTGGAGGGGTTTAGCGGGTGTGGACACAGTTTGCTGATCTCAGAACTCGGAGGGGCCTGGTCTGGCTCACTTAGACCCTGGATTCTCCCTGGCCTTCCCCTTCTCTTCTTTTCATCCCCTTGTCCCTCTCCCACCTCTTCCGTGGGCTCACCTGAAAGCTGGAGGTTCAAGAGCGAAGAGGTATTTCTCTGAAGAAATTCTGAGATGGTGCTGGCCCCCTTCAAGCCAAGATCATTGTTGGAAACATTCTAAAAGGCAAGAACACATTCATGTGTGTAAACATCCCACCCAAGGGCCCTTACTAACGAATGGTGCCAATGTGAGCCCTACTTGAGGCCTGCACCAGGGAGTAGGGCTGGGTGGGGAGAGGGGCAGGAGAGGAGGGGCAGGATGGATTGGGAAGAGCAAAGGAGCAGAGGACCATGGGAACTCAGCCCTCCTAATGCCTGGCTGGGGGGCCCCTCCCACTGGTCTCAGTTTTTCTGAAGTTGGCTTTGGTGACTCCCCACCTCTCCAGTTCAGCTCTAGCACCTTAGATAAGCACACTGTACATTTCTTTTTTGAAATCCAAGAGAGCTTTGTTTAGACAGTTTGGCGTAAAGCAATTGAAAAATTAGCTTCGAGTAATTCATCGTTGTAAGTTCCATTCATTGATTGGTGAAGCATGAATGAATCTGCTGGGGACACGCAGGGATACAAATGGACACATTCCTTTCAGGCGAGTGGGAGGGACGTTCATATAAACCAGCCATTATTATCATAATTGTTTCTCCCCTCTCTTTTTCCTTTTTTTTTTTGTGTGTGGTAAAAATAGATATAACACAACATTTACCATCTTAGCCGTTTTTAAGGGTATAGCTCCGTGGTCTCAGGTGTATTCACCTGGTTTGCAACTATCACCATCATCTATCTCCAGGCACATTGTGTTTGATGAGAGTATTTCGTGTCTTTATTTTAGGTTCACTTTAGAGTGACTCTGCAGAAATAAGGGCTTATAAGGTGCAGACAGAATTGGTTTCTTAGAGTTCCTGGGACCACAGGGAACACAGCTCCCCTCCCAACCCTCCCCGCGGCCAGCCTCGGATGTGTGGCCCTCCTCTGAGGAGTCACATCTGGAGGAGAGGGCCTCCAGGCTGCAGAAAGCCGGAGGCTGGCCAGGACTTGGGCAGGGGCCTATGGCCCGTGTCGGGTGTGTTCCGTGAGCCCAGGTGGTAGGGATCGGCAGAGCAGAGCACAGTACCAAGTCTTGCAGGTAGTAGTTCTCTTGCAGCATCTGCACCAGGCTCAAGGTGCCCTCTTCCATGATACAGTTGTCTGCCAGCTCCAGGGTGACAACACTCGTGTTGGACTTCAGCCGCCACAAGAGGAGGGGGAGAAAGACAGAGGTAGTCGGCGACCTAGTCAGTTCCCTGCCCTTTCCCAGAACCCGTCCTCTCTCTTGACCGTCCCAGCCTTTTCAGAGGGTAGGGAGAGGCAGGCTAGCAATTCTGGAGAAAGCACAGGGATGATCCATCCCGCCGAGTTTTGCTAGCACAATATGCTTATTCTGGGCACCTCCACCAAAGGGGGCTCTGCAGGGGAATTTCGAAAGGGGACATTAAAACGATGAAATCCTGGGGCGCCCGGGTGGCTCAGTCAGTCAAGCCTCCAACTTCAGCTCAGGTCATGATCTCAGGGTTCATGAGTTTGAGCCCCACATTGGGCTCTGGGCTGACAGTGTGGAGGCTGGAGGCTGCTTCGGATTCTGTGTCTCCCTCTCTCTCTGCCCCTCCCCCGCTGGTACTCTGGCTCTCTCTCAAAGATAATAAAGATTTAAAAAAAAATTTTTAAGTAAAAAAACCAATGAAATCCCTAAAACGTGTGGGGCACAGGGATGAGCTAAACAGACTGTAGCTCTTTCTCAGGGAGGAGAGAAGCTGTGACCTACTCTGACATTAAGGAGAAGTTGATGCCTTTAATAAAGGTATTTAAACATAAGGCATTTACTGTGCCTGTTTCTTTCACAGGTCTTTCTTCTAGTTTAGGCTCTGGCTTATCTGGTACTTTCAGTCAGGACGTTGTCCCAAGGCTGTTTGGAAGGACCTGGATTTCAGTCTTAAGTATCCATATCCAAGCTAGTCAGCACTCCGACAGGCAGCAAGGTGAGAGGAAGCGACGTGCAGCATGAGGGCCCGGGGTCAGCTCTAGTCAGGACTGTTATTCTTCCCTTCCCCACCTCAGTTCCGGTGCAGAAAGGTATGAAGAATAGACACATCTTTGGATTTGGGTATTCTCAAAGTGCACCAAGCAGCGGGAGAGGCAGCCACCGGGAAGGAGTCCTAGCCCCCCCGCAAAGGGCAAATGTGACAGCTCGGATAACACAGTGCCTAACAGTCCACCCAGGGCCTTCACCAAGTGCCTTCTGGCCTCAGCTCTCCGAGGTGGGCAAAATTCCATTGTGTGCAGAGGCAAGGGTCAAGGCTCAGGGGGCCAGGTGTCAGTTAGTGCCCAGCATCGGGGGGCCGGACAACCAGCTGCATAGTCACCCTGGGGACTAGCGCAGTGTGTGGGGCAGCGGGCAGAGCCCGGACCAGGCCTGTCCACATTCACGTCACACAGGCCAGTGGCCACTGGTTACTCTTTGTGCCAGTTTCTGGAGAAACAAGGATGAGCAGAGGACATCCCTGCACCCCGTCAAGCACGAAGGCGTCGAGGCAGGCAGGTGAGAGATGGACGGGAAGCATGAGATATGAGCACTACCATCAGCGTGCTTTTAAGCCAAGCCAGGGAAACACAACACGTGCAAAGTTAAACAGTACAAAAAGATAAATAGCAGTTCAGTCCCCCAGCATGTCACAGTGATTAATTGTCAAATTAGTGACACAGAGAATCAGGGAAAAAGAAACTCCCCCCAAACAGAAACTGTTGTCACTAAGAGGCAAGCAGCCCAAGTCCCGAGAGAATTGCATTATCCGTTTTTTTTCATGAAACTCATGCCGTAATGGTGCATTCCTAACACCTCATTAATCAGTCTTTCAACACTCAATAAATTTCAAGATGCCTTTGTTCTTTCTGTGCTCTTCCCCTCTTTCCTCCCTCCTCCAGAAAGCAGCACAATCTCACATTTCATGTGGACTCTTAATGGGCATATGCCAAATGCAAATGCTATGATATTTCCCAAAATGAATGAGTGCTTTTTTTTTTTTAAATCAAACTTTCTCTTTACCGTCCTAAATGAACAAACAGTGTTGTGCTGACACACAGTTGTTACATGATCTGTTTTTCTGGGATGGAAGCTGGTTTGTATATAATCAATTATAATTATATAAGGCTATGATGAATTCAAGGTCAAGTCCTTGGTTGCTCATGCCAGGCTGAGAGAGAGAGAGAGAGAGAGAGAGAGAGAGAGAGAGAGGACATTATTCCTATGGGAAAACATGAATTATTCTACAGTGTGATCTTTTAAGAATTGCAACATTGCAAAATGGGGCGCCTGGGTGGCTCAGTCGGTTAGGCGTCCGACTTCAGCTCAGGTCATGATCCCGCGGTCTGTGAGTTCGAGCCCCGCGTCGGGCTCTGGGCTGATGGCTCAGAGCCTGGAGCCTGCTTCCGATTCTGTGTCTCCCTCTCTCTCTGACCCTCCCCCGTTCATGCTCTGTCTCTCTCTGTCTCAAAAATAAATAAACATTAAACAAGCAAACAAAACAAGAAAGTGGCTGCACTATTAAAAAAAAAAAAAAAAAGAATTGCAACATTGCAAAAGGCAAACTTTGGATAGAACAGCTCAGTAGTGAACACCTTTATAGCAAAGGTGAGCTTTGGAATTGAGATCCAGGCTGGCATTTTGTATCATGCACCAGCATTAGTGACAAGCCGAGCCACTTACCTGTGGCTGCTGCCTTTACTTCCTGAATCAGAAAGAGCATAGACTTCCAAAGCCAAGGTCCCTAGCAACCCCCTTCCCAGGAGCCAGTGGGGGCATCCATGCCTATTACGTAAATCGACTGGCAGTCAAGCAGAGCCTAGGGCAGGGCGGGCATAAAGCTTGCAATTTAGGATCCCATGGGGGGTCTCTCTGAGTCTTGAGCCCACTACTCTGTCAACCCCCACCTCTACCCATCATCAAGGGCCCCCATTAGCATGCTCACCACCAGGGCTATGGCAATAGCCTTGGTACCACTGGGTCCCAGCCCATGGTGGTTGAGGTTCACGTAGGACTCCTCCATGTTCCGGATAAAGTAGGAGACGGGCACTACACCCACCAGTTTGCAGGCCTCCAGGTACAGCTCCCTTTGTCCGGTGGTGAAAAGTTTCTCCGTATCTACACAAAAAAATGGAGAAAGTGGGGTTTTTCTTCCACCTTTGCCTCATTTCTCCTCTAACTCTGGGCCGAGTGTGCTTCTGCCCGGTGTCCCCTCTGCCTGAGGATGTCCCTGTGGGTGTGTGTGGTGGAGGGCAGCTCTAATCGGAAGACGGCCAGAGGCGGGAGAGGGAGACCCAAACTCCAGAAAGCCCCAAATCTCCCTCCGAGTAAGAGATAAGGCCCCTGGTTTTAGGCCCCAAGCCTTCCCAGGAGAGGGAGCGGCGTGCCCACACCTTCCCGTGTTGCCCACATCCAGGACTGATTATCAAGGATGCATAAAGGCCAGCTCTCTTGTCCACCTTGGGATGGCTCTGAAAGGCCAAACCAAAAGCTGATTTGTGATGGCTGAAGGAACCTCTATTTGTTTCAGTTTCACTACCACTACTGAACTGAGAGCCACAAATAGAGCCTTACTAAAGATTTAGAGAGGTTCCAACTTTCAAAACCCCAAGTGGGACTGAGTGGGTTTCTCAAGGTGGCAAATCACTGCAAGATGGAGAGACCTCCCCAAATCACGTGGAAACAAACAAACTTGTATTTGAATTGATACTCCTCTTTCAAAGACTTGTATGTCGTTTTTCCTGACAAAAAGGACTATTGTGTCTACTTTGCCAGTGACAAATCTAGCCGCAAATCACACACAGCTCATCGGTGCTAACACCAGCTACCACAATTGGGGACTTTATCTCTCCGTTCCAAGCTCTTGGGGCCTTTGTTCCTTGGACTTTAGATGGGCCTGGCTCGTGGTCAATGGCCCTCCCTGGATTCCATATGCCCTCACAGCTGTGTCCTCATTAAGTGGGTCCCTTCAACAGCTGGGCCTCCCGTGGCTAGCTGGGGTCTAAGCGTGCATCTGTGATCCCTTTGGATGCCAGGGCCTTTAGCCAACCCACCTCGGACATTTTACGAGGCAGACAACGTGAGCTTTGTTGGTGAACAGACAACTTTACGAGGAGGCTCACTCTGCAGGCACAGCTTCTAACTGGCCTTCTCTTTGGGATGGTTGTAGGGTAGGCTCTTTCAAGCTCGGCGCTGCTGACATTTTGAGTTGGGTCATTCTCTGTCGCAAGGGGCTGTCTTGAGCGGTGAAAGATATTTAGCAGGATTCCTGGCCTCTGCCAGTGAGATGCCAGTAGCATCCCCTCCCCCCCCCCCCCGGGGGTTGCCAAATGTCACCTGGGGTGCAAAATCGCCTCCGAGTGAGGACCGCTGTCGCATAAGCAAAACTGCACGTGGCAGGTGCCCAACTTCTGCCTTCTCTCCCTCTTCTGTAGCCTCACTGCCAGCTTGCTGTTCTGCGGGGGGCTCATGTCTCAGGCCAGCTCAGAGAAGCCCTCCGGCCCCATTCCCAGCTCCTCGGCACCAGGGGGCACCAGCTGCTGGAGCAGCTGGGCCCTGAGTTTCTGCCCCAGCACAGCCTAGCTGCCGGTAGAGATTCTTCTTTGCCAAGGCAGGCGGTAGGTAACCCCCACCTTTGTCCTCGACACTAATTCTGCTCTGTTTCACTCTGCTGACCCTTTCTAGCTGTAGTCACTATGGTTATATTTTAGAGGCAGCTGGCAACTGTGTTATCTCTTGTGGGGAGCTGGGGGGGTGGGGGGAAGACGCGACAGAAGCAGGAGTCTGGGACAAAACATCCAGTTTCTATCTGCCACCCCCCCCCCCCCCCCAACCAGGTAAAGGTCTGGGTTGAAACCAACATCAGCACACTAGCGGCAGCCTGGACGTGGAAAAGAAGTCGGAAAAAGCAACGAGATGAGGGTGGGGGCAGGGAGGAGGCATATGGGGAGGGGAAGTTGTACGCTGGCCACGGTAGGGAGGTTTATGAACGGACTGACCCAGCCGCCAGAACACAGGAGACGAAGGCAGTGGGCTAGCCTCAGCCTGGAAGTTCCGGGCTGGCTTTTCAGGTGGGGCGAGCCATGTGCTCACCTTGCTTCACAGGTGTTCTTGGCACTTCCCTCCCTGGGGAAACGGAGAGGGCGAAGAGGGTGGAGGCATTGTTTGCAATAACAGAGTCTTTGCTGCAGCTCAGCTGGCCCTCTTCCTCCCCACCCCCACAGGGCACACTTGGCTTTGTCCAGAGCAAACTCTCAAGTAGGGGAACCAAGAACTCTAATGTGAGTAAAGAGAAAAGTCACCGGGTTGCAAGAGGGGCCACAGACGGTCCAGCGGCCCCCACAACACCGAGCACGAAGGCAGATCAGCAGAGCAGCGTGAACAGGGGATCAGCAAACATTGGCAGCTCTCTGTGGCCTTGGGCAACTCACACAATCTCCTTAAGCCTCAGTCTCCTCCTCTTTAAAAGGTGGGTAATGATGACAACCTCCTGGGATTATTGCAAAGAGGACATAAGATGCCACACGTGGAAACATTTAGAAAACCCGAAATCCCTGTGTAAGTACTGGTTCCGCTTTCAACAAGCTGATGTGACCACTGTGCTCAGCAGGTAGGCCACGAGCACGGGGCAGCTGCTGCCACCAGGCCAGCCTCGAAGAGGACGTGGCATAGGACTGCCCCAGAGGTTGCTGTCACGTTCCTTCTGTGGGGTGGCCCACTGGGCAGAGCCACGGCCGACCCGGGAGAGCTGAGGTCTCCAGCTTCTGAGGAAGGAGGCGCACCCCCACCCTGTCCACTAAGCGCCCACGGTCACCTTCGATCTCCAGGTCTGTTTCTGAGCTCTCCCCGCCTGGCTTCTCTTTTTCTACAGCCACAGAGGCCTCAGCCTCACAGTAGAAGGTCTCGTCACTGTTCCGTGCTGCTGGCTCAGATTCAGGTTCATCTAGAAGAAAACTCATCTCCTTGATTCTGGAAATAAAACCTGAGGGCCTCTCAGGTGAAGTCTACCTGTGGCTTCTCCCCCCACCCCCACCCCCTTCCTTTGCCAGCTAGGTCCTGGAGGACCTCCCCCCACCAGCCAAGGACCTGCAGTGTGCATTCAGTCCCGTCAGGGACTCCATTCTACAAGCCCTCCCTCTCGGATGCAGGGCCAGCGCCTGATCCTCTGTAGAGTCTTTCTTGTGCTAAACACCCCCTCATGTCCTCTGCAGACTCCCTGCTCATTCCCTGCTTTGGGCCCATCTCAGAGATTGGCTCTGTGCCACTATTTTCCTTCTTGTTGGCTTGGGTGGGGTTCAGGGCCTGCTTTACTCTTTCAGGGAGAGGATGTGTGCCGATGCCTAGGCTGCCTCATTGGCAGGCACAAACGATGTTGCAGAAGGCGAGGGGCAGGGCAGAGCGGGTGACTTGGGACATCCATAAAATGCAAGGGAACACAAGCAGTCCCAAGGAGAAAGAAGGATAACTTGATTCCTAAGAATTTGACCTAGCTTCTCTTCCTTCCAATCCAACATTTATTTTAGGATCATGAAGAAGGAAGAGCTCAGGGGTGCCCCGGTGGCTCAGTCGGTTAAGCGTCTGACTTCGGCTCAAGTCATGATCTCACGGTTCATGAGTTTGAGTCCCGCATCTGGTTCACTACTGTCAGCGCAGAGCCTGCTTGGGATCCTCTGTTGCCCTCTCTCTGCCCCTCCCTGGCTTGCACTCTCTCTCAAAAATAAATAAACATTAAAACAAAAAAGAAGGAAGAGCTTGCAAAATCTTGCTGGGGTTGAAACTAATTGCTATGATTAAATACACGTGTCCTAAGCTTCCCTTATAGCAGTCCCGATACTTTGCTGGACCTGAGTTTTCTGCGGCTGGACCACTGATCTGGGACTAGGATGAGTTCCTGAAAGCCACACATAGGAGTCTAGAGCTACTCCTCCCACATCCACAGGATGCAGTGTTTGGGGGAGCCATGCTCTACCAGCAGGTAACCCATCAAAACGTAGCCAATCTATTCTTTGGGTGGACTGAGCATTTGTGGCAGGGGTCCCCAGTTTTAACCACCCAAGTTCTCAGATGGCGGGCTTCCTAATAAGTTCATGCAGATGTTTTCTTAGTCCTTCTCCGTACACCAAGCTCCAGGAATTATTTCCGAGACTGTAAGACAAGGTCTGTGTGATAAGGGGTGGAAGTAATAGTGGCCCAGCAGTTAGAAGATATACAGCAGCTTAGCCATCAAATGCAGCCATCAAAAAGTTATGACTTTCTGAGTCTCAATATTCTCATTAGTCACACAATTTTAGAATTCCATCCAACCAGTAGAATGCTATTACGTGTTTAACTGGCTTTCCGGAAAAAAAAAAAAAAAAATCCTTGATTTGTAAAGTTAGCCAACTCAGGTGGGGTAAATATTCCCAGCATGGCTGATTTCAAACTACCAACATGACGTCAGACAGCTCACAAAGCGGAAATTAAAGTTGGCCAGAGCTAGTACGAGCCAATTCCAGCAGAGCATTGTCTCCAACTGTCTCATTCCCTGTTTGGGAGGCCCTGAGGCCAAGTTGACGTAACACATCATCCCGATTCTAGAGGATCCCGGGTGAGGAGGGAAGGGGGCTTCAGGGTCCCTGTGATCACTGGGTGTTATACTGAGATAGCCCAGAAGGGCCCGAGTGGTGAGAGATGGGATGCCTGTTCACCTTTTGTCTCAGGCTCAAGAGGTTCATCGTTGTCCATGGCGCCAGGGCCCTCTCGGGGGCCACTGTCCACTTCTTGTCACCTTTCTGCCACTTCCCTAAGAAGCACACCCGTCCATTCACTTCTGCCTCAAACTTCGTGCACCCTGCCCTGACACAGACAAATCCCAGGGGGGCTGTAGTTATTCTTCCTCCCCAGCAAGCCTGGAGAGAGTGGGCTTTGGTGGGAAGAGGACATGCGTGGATTTGACCCCAACTCTGTCTGGGAGAAGCAGCTAATTGCTGAGATCATCAGGGAGAGTGGTATGGCTCTATTCCCGGGAGCCCTGTCAAAAGGATGCCCACCCTCCTGCGACTTTGTGACTTAAGAGCCACTTTAATGTCACCTCTTCAACATTCCATGACCTCATGCAGCCATTGTGATCCACATGGGTGGACCTGGCAACAGCCAGCCTCCCGCCCTCTTGGTGGCTCTGGCAGTCCTCTTTCCTCATATGTCCACTGGGGCCGAGCCCGGGCTCGGCTGTGAGTGGGCAGGTGTTGTGGGGGGGCTTCTTGGTGGTGGCGTTTCCCTCTGAGTCAGGAACAAATCCAAGCCCCTTAATCAGGTGACTGTGAAGACGCACCACCATGTTCTTCTCTCAAGGTGGTTGTGCTTCAGGTATGACATATTTCAGTGATGGGTGAAGTCAGTTTTCTTCTACCCTGTTCTCATTCCTTTTTTCTTTCCCCCTTGGGAGAGTATCCTCAACGTTGGAGCAGAAGATCAAAAGCAAAGCACGACAAACATATGCTCTATCACTACAATTTGTTGCAGCCGAAGTACTGTTCAATCCAAACTACTGGGCTGCCTAACTCGAAACCACTCAACCATCATTCCCGCGCTTGGCTGTTTTCACATGTCTTGGAGTTGAAGTTCACTTGCAGTTTACTATCAAGAGAATCTGGAGCCGTGTTTGTTCCTTCTTGATAAGTTTCCAGCACATCAACGGTCAGGTCAGTGACTGGAGGGCTTGGGGACACGGAAATCCCTCTTTGCCACTCAGAAGAATGAGGAACATCTGGGAATTTGTGTAGGGAGAACATAGTTAGAGGCTTGGACCAAAAGAAACATGTACATCTGACACATTACTCATTCCTTCAGGCATTTGTTCTGAAAAATATTTATAGAGCATCTATTATGTAAAAGGCACTATGCTAGGCACCACTGTGGGGAGGGAATGCAGACATGATTATGGCTTGGACCCTTCAAGGCATGTATGATACAAGATAGAAATTGACACAGCTACTCCTAGGGTATGAGGGTTGTGGGCAAATATTTTTGGCAGAGCTCCTGTTCACATAAAGAATTGGAGTCACCCCAAATCAGCATGGCCACACCAGTCTAGGGGTCCCATCTCATGTAGTTCCTTGAAATAAACACCAAATAGACCAGGGGGACTGGTCAACTCCCACGATGATTTGGTAAGCATGAGTCCTGGAGACTCTTTGGGCATCAGGTCTACACCGTGCTGGTGAAGCGGATAGAAAATGTCCTTAAAGGAGAAAAATGGGGACTGGAGAGTATGTAGGTCCTGGTCTAAACTCTAGGTGCTCTGCCTAAACAGCACCATGTGGTCTCAGGCCCCAAGGGCAAATTAGAAAATTTGGAGGAAAGCACTCTAGCCACCAGGCAGAGGCACCAGGCAGTACTGGAAATTGATAAGGATCATGAGGGAGATTTGCTGGGAGTTCAAGGGAAAGTGAGGTTTCTTCATGCTGCGGAGCATTTGTGGGCTCTGGACAAGTAGAGTCCTGGCAAAAGGCATTTCTAGGAAGGCAGAATAAAGGAAGGAAACAGAGCCCAAGGTGGGTTTGGAGGAGTATAGGGTGCAAAGAGTAGTGGGAAAAAGAGGCGCAAAAGGAACACGAGCTATTTCATAAACAGATTCAAATGCAGTGAAAAGTCAATAGAAAGCCACTGAAGATTTTTGAACAGGAGCATGATTTAATCAGGGCTTCTCTTTATAATGATGGGCAGCAATTATTTACTTATTTGGGGAAGAGTTCATTCTGGAGAAATAAAAATGTTCAGGAACCACAATTTAAAAATTTTGTATCTTTTTAGAAATCATGAAATGTAATACCTTCAACTTCTTTTTGTGTGCTATTTTGAAAGTTTATTATTATTATATCCTGTTTTAATTCAAGTTTTAATTTTGAAATATTTTGGATTATAGCAGAGTTACAAAAATAGTAGAGTTCCTGTATACTCTTCATCCAGCTTTCCCTTGTGTTAACATCTTGCACAAACATTACCAAAACTGAGGAATTAACAGTGCTACAATGCTATTGACTACATTACAGACCATTTTTATATTTTATCAGTTTTTTCACTAATGTCCATTCTTTGTTCCAGGATCCAATCCAGGATCCCACACGTCTCTCCCAAAATATGACATTTCTTTAGTCTTTGTCTCTCATGACCTTGACCCCTTACAGAAAGTACTGGTCAGATATTTTGTGTAATGTCCCTCAATTTGCGCTTGTCTGATGTTTTCTCATGATTACTGGGAAGGGTGCCAAAGTTGATGTGCCCTTCTCAGTGTGTATCAGGGACACATGATATCAATATGTATCACATAGATCTCTTGGTCAGGGTGGTATCTGCTGGGTTTATCTACTGTAAAGTTCTTTTCCCCTTTGTAATCAATACATATTTTGGAGAAGATATTTTATGCAAATATCTTATTTCTGCTTAAAATTTTTGCTCAATAATTTTAATATCATAAAATTAAAAAAAAATTTAAACTTTTTTTTTTTTAATTTTTTTTTCAACATTTATTTATTTTTGGGACAGAGAGAGACAGAGCATGAACGGGGGAGGGGCAGAGAGAGAGGGAGACACAGAACTGGAAACAGGCTCCAGGCTCTGAGCCATCAGCCCAGAGCCTGACGCGGGGCTCGAACTCACGGACCGCGAGATCGTGACCTGGCTGAAGTCGGACGCTTAACCGACTGCGCCACCCAGGCGCCCCCAAAATTTAAACATTTTAAAAAATGTTTATTTATTTATTTTGAGGTGGGGAGGGGCAGACAGAGAGAGAGAGAGAGAGAGAGGAGGGAGAGAATCCCAAGCAGGCTCCATGCAGACAGTGTGGAGCCTGACATGGGGCTCCCATCCCATGAAACTGTGAGATCATGACCCGAGCCGAAATCAAGAGTTGGATGCTTAACCAACTGAGCCACCTGGGCACCATCCAGCACCCATGGATTTTAT